CCGGCTCACACGCACCCGCACACCTCCTCGAGGCTTCTTGGCGCCTCCCAGTGGAACACGGCCCAGCTCTGGGGCCCAGGGGTCCAGGCAGGGCTCAAACCTGGCCACGCCACTCACCAGAGTGGCCACGGGCCATTCCTGTCCTCCCTGAGCCTCCCTGTGCTCATCTATAAATCAGGGACCACACTGGGCTTCGGGGGACATTCAAGGACAAAAGCCCATGAGCAGGACACGGGGCCGGTCACACAGGCCAGGCTGAGCACCAACCCCGCGGCAGCATGGCCCCTGATCACGTGTCACTTACAGAGTCTCCATCACTGTGATGTGCCAGGGGCGAGCCCAAGGGGGCCACCAGGTCCCACGTCTCCTATCGCCACCTTATGCTGGAAGGACATCCTGGGCCCCCACTCGCAGGTGAGAACCCTGAGGCCTCTGGAGCCACGAATCGTGCCCCGGGCTGAGATGGCCCAGGTCACCAGGCACCAGGGCCCTGCGGTAGCTTCCCCATGGAGTCTCACCATCCGGCAATCACAAAGTCCCAGAAGGGATGAGTGACTCCAGAGTCACTGTCCTGGCCACAGTGGCTCTGGGACCGAAGCCCAGGCAGGCTGCCCCGTCCCGGCCCATGTGCTCAAGGGTCCTAAGCCCAGCACTGGGGAGCCTGCTCCCCACCACACCCCACCGCAGCTCCTCAGGCCAGGGGCCGCGGCACAAGGATCCAGCTGTCAACCCAGATGGTCCAAATGCAGAGGCCATTCATGAACACTCATCCCGGTTGAGCCGAGGGCCTGGGACAGCTGGCCCTGTGACTGCCCAGCAGGTGGCCAAGGACTCCTGTCCCCTGGTGCAGCCAGCACCGCGTTTAGTGAGCTCCTGCTACGTGCCAGGCCCTGCTCCCGTGGGAAGGCACTGCCCTCCACCCGTCTCACACCTGAGGCCGCCGGAGCTCAGAGCAGTCGGGACTTCCGGATCCCACAGCCAGAAAGTGGCAGAGGCGACCTTGAAGCCCTCAGTCCTCTTCTGTCCTGCCCTCAGCCACGATCTGACCCCAATTCCAAGCAACTGCAAACTGCATGCTCATTCAGAATGTCCTCTGCCCCAGGAAACAGACCTCACACAGGGGTGCAGACTGCTGCCGCTGCTGGCAGCACTCAGGAGGTACCCCTTCTAACGGACACAGAGTTTTCTTTACCGAGCTCTAGAGATATTTAGGACAAGATGGGTCCATCTGGACCCCAGCCATGGCACAGTGGGAGGTACCCTGATGGTCGAGGGTCCTAGATCCCTGCCACTGCTTGTTTGTGACCACAGGGGAGATGATACACCTCTTGGTCCTCTATTTGCCCATTTGTAAAACAAGGACCTTGGACCACAATGACCCCAAGTCTCTTCCAGCTCCAAGACTCCAGGATCCTACGTCCGCAGTCCAGGAAATCAACTGGACAGTGCGCTTCCTCTTGTCTTCCCCATGAAATTGGCAATAATTAGGGAAAACAATAATACCCAGTGCTGGCAAGAATGTTGGAAAGTGGGCACTGTCCCATCCACTTCTGCTGAAAATGTCAATTAGAACATCCTTTCTGGAGAGCAACTTAGCAATTTTTTATCAAAAGCCTTTAAAAATATTCCTAGTCTTTAACTCTACAATCCCATTCTTGGCTATTGATCTGTAAGGAGAGATATATGTAGAGATTCAGTACAGAATGTCCATCACAACACTATTGATATTTGGGATGGGGTGGAAGCAATCTAGCTGTCCAATGACAGGGGATTAAATAAAATCTGTTGCATTCACATGGTGCACCATTTTTAAAATCATGCTTTACAAGAACAGTTAATGATGTGGACAAACATTCCCAACCGATTTTAAAACTTGGAAACCAAGTAGATAATGACATATTTAGATAGCAACGGAAACCGTGCACCGTGTCCTCCTGAGCCTTCCTCCTAAGTGCATCTGGAATCTGTCCTTTGTATCATCCCCTGTGGCACCCAGTCCATTGCTGTGACCCCCTCAGGTCTCAGCTACTATCTGCCCATCCAATCTTTGAACTGTGGCCAACATTGATCTTTTCCAACCCATTTCACTCCCTTCCAGAGCTCCCCACCCATATTGGGAAAAGTCCAAACTCCCTCCCATGGCCCTCTGGGGGCCACGCACGCTCTGCCACTCACGAGCAGCGTCCTCATGGCCCATACCTCCCTCCAGGAGGGCTCAACCCCAGAGGAAGCTGGGTCCACCCAAGGTAGCCTTGCCCAGGGAAAGAACTGGCACCTCACACAGCAGAGGGGAGGACCCTCCAGTGGCAGGTGGGACAGGAGAGGCCTACGGTGGCAGAAAGAACAGGACCAGGCTCCAGAAGGAGGCCGGGCTTGGTGGCCCTGCCAGCCCCCGCCTGGCCAGCCTCACCAGTCTCTGCACAGGAAGGATGGCTCCTGACCCTCTGTGCCCCTCCTGCTGGAGTCCCGTGCCTCAGGGGACCAGTGTCTGCCAGAGGAGCCTGGAAGGGTCCCCTCAGAACCAGGTGCCATGCAAAATCCTTCCAGTACCCAGACGCCACCCAGCTCCAAGGCCTCCAAGAAGCCCTTTTCCAGAGGAGAGACTCTATGCCCAAGGCATCTGGCCCCTGACCCCAATCCCACCTTCCTAGGCCTTCTCTGCCAGGCACTAAGGCCTGGGCTACAGGAAGATTCTTCTGTGCAGAAATGACATTTATCAAAGACCAGTTCAAGATGAAGCTGAACTGTATATGAAAACAACAAAATCAATAATGACCGCTCACTGTTGCTGACCACTTCCCACCTGCCCTACAGCAGGCCAAAGCTGTCCATCTATCATCTCATCGACTTCTCACACCCCTCGGAGTCAGGTACCTATTTTGCAGATTAGGGTCATTGAAGCAAGGGGGCTGGCCTGTCCGCTGCCTGGGTACCCAGGGATACCACAGGCTGCAAGAGGGTGGGCCAGACCTCAAAGAAGCCTGGCAATGCTGACCACTGCTCCCTAAGTCCTGGGTGAGAAGGGCTGAGGGGGCTCCTCCCCATCCTCTAACCTCCCCCTCCTGGGCAGGAACTATCCCAGGAAGGTCGAGGGTGGTTTGCCAGGCACTGATTTAAATAATCTTATCTGCAAAGGAGGAAAAAAAAAAACCTGCTCTAAGATGCTAAGCCTGAAAGACAGAGGGATTTGCCAGGCTGGATCCAGGCCTATCTAGAGAGGCACCGTGCTGGAGCTCTTCCACAGGCCACAGGAAGGAGAATGGCCACCAGCGAGGGCACCCAGCGTTGGCACAGATGTGAACACCTGAAGCTCCCGGGCCCACTTGGCCTTGCAGCCATCTGTGCGCAGGAGCCGAGGTCCCCAGCACACGACAGAACGCTGGTTCTTCAGCCAGGGATCCCCCACCAAGGTCTGCGTGGCACTCACCAAGGATGCAAATTCCTGGGCCCATTTCACTCCCTTCCAGAGCTCCCCACCCATCTTGGGAAAAGTCCAAACTCCCTCCCATGGCCCCCACCAGAACTAAGGACTCAGAAACCTAGAAGGGTGGCCCAGGCACCTTGAGGCTTCACTAGCCTCCTGGAGACACGGACATTTGCAAGTTCTTCCCCCTTAGCTCTTCTCTTGACCCCACACCCAGAATCCCCTAGAACAAAGAGCAGACGGCTCCACAGCACCAGGGGGAAGCCCAAGGGGGGCCTGACAGGCTGCAGGCTTCCTCTGCTTGTCCTGCCCAAAGACTTTCCATTGACAATTATCTGTGGACCTACTAAGTGGCATCACAGAGGAGACAGCTGTCAGCCACATGGCTGGGGGCCTGCCCTGAGGGACCTGGCATCCACAAAGGGTCAGGGAGGAGGCAAGTGAGCCTACCAGCACTTCCCCAGAAGAAAGGCACCCAGGCTCTCTCCCTCACCAAAACTGCTCAGGTCTCCAAAGACCTTTAAAAATAGCCCAGGCCAGCACCAGCGTGCCAGCTCCTAACAAAGCTTTGTTGACCCAACTTCTCCCAAAGACGACAGGTCAGCCCCAGAGAGAGAGGGCTGGACCCTCCCTCCCTGCATCTACGCTCATGGGCTCAGGGCAGAACCTAACAGGGAGCACAGGGGAGCTCCTGGCGTGGCCCCAAGGTCTCTCCCTGGGCACAGCGCAGGAGCAGCAGACTGAGTGCAAGTCCCAGAAGGGCCCGGAAATAGCTGTGGCACCTTGGGCATGCCCCTTCACCTCTCTGAGCCTCAGTTTCCTCATCTGTAGGTGGTGACAGCAATAGGACCCACACATAGGCCACTGTCAAGTCGCTGTGCTACCCACATGTCATGCATAGTGTGCTCAATCAGTAGGACCCCCAGCTTCACTCAGCTCCCTGCCCCACCCTGTTGGAGACGGCCTGGTGCAGAAGATAGTGCTATTCCTGGAGAAGCCATGGTGCCCTCTGCCTCCCAGGGACAGGGCACAGGAGGTCCTACCTGCAGCCTGCCTGCCTAGGACTGAGCTTCGAGGAAGGTACAGCAACTCCACAAAACAACATCTGCCTTGGAAAGAGAGAGAGTGGCCCCTGGGCCAGGAGCTTCAGCCCTCTGAGGAGCGGGTACTGGATATGACCGCCCGGCCCATAATTCCCCTGGAGAAGAGCCAGTACCAGCACTTTCGGGAAAGTCCCCTTTGTTCCAAGCACATGGGGGCGAGGGGCATGGGGCTGAAGCAGGGGCTTGGCCAGACCTGCAAACGTGCCCTGAAGACTGATGGAGTGGGGGGAGGGGGAGAGGCTGTGCAATGCACCAGAGCTTCCTCCCAAGCTTGAAGCCTCCTCTACACACCCGCTTGGCAGTCAATCTGCTGCCTCCAGGGGTGGTGCAGCCCATGGAGCTGCCCAGGTACATCTGCTGAGTTGCAGCCCAATCCCAAGGCCACTGCCCGCTTCCAAGCCCAACATTCAGGCATAGGCCCTTCCAGGGAAGATCCCCCTCCTCATCCCCAGAAAAGACAGGGTGATCAGGAACCAGTGCGATTAACCTCTGGCGAGCTGGGCTACCTCCAGAGAGGCTGCAGGAAGGGGAAACCTGGTATGGAGAAACTGGAGAGCAGGGGAGAGTGTGAAGTTGGGCAGGTGGAAAGAGACACCGGCACTGATCCACTGATGTCCACAGGGGACATACCTTCCTTTGGGGGCTGCCCAAACGGTTAAAGGATCAAACCCTACGAATCAGCTACAGTTGTATAAACTCATTTCCGGTGTGAAGGAGACAAGGAGGGAGGTAAGACTAAATGCGGCAACCAACAGGGTGCCAGGGACCCTTCCCCCGCCCCTCTCCCCCGTCACTGCCATGAGCGCTTGCCAAGTCTCGCCACCCCCCACACACGATCAGGGCCAGGGAGGGGGCGACAGGCCAACCTCGCAGCAGCAGCAGCAACAGCATCGTGATGCATGAATCACCCACCCGCCGCGCTCCTGCCAGTCGGCTCCGCGCAGCCCGAGCCACGCTGCACCCGGGCGCCCCCTCCCGGGACCACCGCCCCCTGCCCTGGCACTGCCCCTGCCTCTTGGGACAGCTCTGCGGGGAGCGGGCCTCGGGTGGGCCGGGGTTCCCTCCCGGCCTGCCGGCAGCCCGCGCACGCTGACAGGCGGCAAACTGCCAGG